ATGGTCGCTGCATTTTGTAGCTTTTGTCTTTTTCTTTAAGGCAATCATTGTAACTTCTGTAAAGTCCTTGGGCCACTCTCCACTTTCATATATGGTGTTCATTAGTTTTGTCAGTGTTTTCAAACCACCTTCTCCCAGTAACTTGAGCACATCTCCAGGTACATCATCATCTCCTGTAGCCTTTCCCTTCCTCATTTCCTTGATAGCTTTTTCCACCTCACTTTGTAAACTATATGGTTCCCTAAGCTCAGCAGTGTGATGGAGAAACTCCTGAGGAGCAACACTAATTAAGAGAAGTTCCCGAAGCTCAGCAATGTGATGGAGAAACTCCTGAAGAGCAACATGAATTAAGAGAAATTCCCCAAGCTCAGCAATGTGATGGAGAAACTCCTGAAGAGCAACACTAATTAAGAGAATTTCCCGAAGCTCAGCAATGTGATGGAGAAACTCCTGAAGAGCAACATGAATTAAGAGAAATTTCCCAAGCTCAGCAATGTGATGGAGTAACTCCTGAAGAGCAACATGAATTAAGAGAAATTCCCCAAGCTCAGCAATGTGATGGAGAAACTCCTGAAGAGCAACATGAATTAAGAGAAATTCCCCAAGCTCAGCAATGTGATGGAGAAACTCCTGAAGAGCAACACTAATTAAGAGATTTTCCCGAAGCTCAGCAATGTGATGGAGAAACTCCTGAAGAGCAACATGAATTAAGAGAAATTTCCCAAGCTCAGATATGTGATGGAGTAACTCCTGAAGAGCAACATGAATTAAGAGAAATTCCCCAAGCTCAGCAATGTGATGGAGAAACTCCTGAAGAGCAACATTAATTAAGAGAAATTCCCTAAGCTCAGCAATGTGATGGAGAAACCCCTGAAGAGCAACATTAATTAAGAGAAATTCCCTAAGCTCAGCTATGTGATGGAGAAACTCCTTAAGAGCAACATTAATTAAGAGAAATTCCCTAAGCTCAGCTATGTGATGGAGAAACTCCTGAAGAGCAACATGAATTATGATAAGTTCCCCAAGCTCTACATTATGAAGGAGAAACGACTGACTGGTGTCATTATGCTACAAAACCCCCTGAAGATTATCATTAGGATGGAGGAAACCCCAAAAGATTAAGATTTGATACTAACATTAAGATGTAGATACGCAGAAGATTAGTATATTATGGAGAAGAAATTTCTGATACTGAACAGTATGTTGGAAGACAAAAATTAAGGACTTTTACATTATGATGGAAAGACTCTTGTAGACTTAATGTTCCAGTTAAGATGATACTGAAAATTGACATTATGATGGAGAAATCCTTGAAGGTTAACGTGATGACCAGGGCCCGGATTTTGATGATATGTCATCTTTTTTTTGTATCCTATGCGATGCTTTTAAATATATAAATCTCGGATTTGAGCTGTTGGTTACAGAAATGTAAATTTTATAGGTAGTCTTTTTGTCAGTTTTTGACATTTTTAGGTTTAAGGTCATTTTTTTGGTAAATTTTTGGACTTTTAAGGGTATTTCTTGTCATTTTTGGCCATTTTAGGGAATTTTTCTTCATATGTTTTCTGAAATGTGAATAACATGGAAGCGAAGTGTTCTTTCTTTTCTCCTTTAGGTCATTTTTCTGGATTTCTTCGGTCATTTTATAGGTCATTTTTTAATATTTTCAGGTCATCAGAATCCAGGCCCTGCATATTACATTTTTGGGTCACATTTAAGTCATTTTTCTGGATTTTTTCAGTCATTTTATAGGTCATTTTTTAAACGTTTTCAGGTCATCGAAATCTGAGCCCTGGTGATAACAGAGAACCCACCCAGAAAATCTCTAAATGTAAACTAAATATTTTGGCTTAAATATAATATTGCAATAAAAATCTATTAGACTCTTTCTTCTACGTCACTGCGTCAATGGAATTAATTCAGTTTATTAGAAACAATTTTGTTTCATTAAATTAATATCATGTTGTTCTTCATGGTAGTGAATGCTTGTTAACATAAATAGCTGTACTGATTATAGGTGACTTTCAACTCCAACAAGAAAACAAATTCAGAACTCAGTAAACTATACCGTATTTACGCATGTATAGGCCGCAGCACAATTTTCAGACAGAAATTATAGAAAAAATTATTTTCTTGGAATATTATTTCAGGAGTAGAACACCCTGTATTACTAAGTATGAATATTTTTTTTTTTAATGAAGTGTGATTTCGAATATTTCGAATATAAGCCGCACCCCAGTTTTCCTCTTGAATTTTTGGCAAAAAATGTGCGGCCTCTACATGCGTAAATACGGTATTTTGATTCTGTAGTTATTTCAGTATCTTTGAATTTTATTCAGTTGGTTAATTCGCCTATATACAGATTTCCAAGCCAGTATTATCATACGTCTAATGACAGTGGGTTGACTTGTGTCAATTAGAATGTGAATAGCACATGTGGCTATATAATAAATTTATATGCCACAGAAAAATAAAAAGGTAGATTAAGAATGGTGTGTTTATTCCTCAGCTAATTTGGCGAAGCCACTGGACCAGTTGGAAGGCTCTGTATCATCTGAACTTGACGGGAATCCACCAATCTGGGTAACACGAATCAAGGGTCCGTACAGGGATAACCTGTATGTGAACAATGCAAAGATCCTACAGGACCGCTCTAACTATATTCAGATGAATCATCAGCATAAACAGCAGGTTCTGCATGTAATCGACCAGGTGCTGGTGCCTGTCAGATCAGCCAATAAGGATACTGTGCAGATATACAATCCAGATGCTTTTCAATTCCTCAACCAGTCTGAGAACCTTGATCTCGAACATCACAGAGTCAGGTAAGTGATATATGTTCTTTTCTTGTTCATAGGTGTTCTGAAGTGTCTCTGTGTTGATGTGACATAAAAGGATAATGCAACAGATTCACTGTAAAGTAAGTTTTCTTGTGGTTTATTTTTTGATGCTGAGAGCGTCTCAGTCTGTATAGTGTCAAATGATAGTATGACTGGTGAATTATGAATTGAAAATAATTTGTAAGCAAGCTATCATGGCCTCGTTAGGGTACTGTCCTGACATTCCCCTGGGGGGATTGAGTAAAACAACAGAAAGGGTTCGATCCCGGGTCTTGTCAAGTGGGATATGAGGTGGACAAAGTGGCGCTGGGGCAGGTTTTCTCTGAGTACTTCGGTTTCCTCTGCCAATCTTAATTCCACCAAGTTCTCCAATCATCATGATCACAATAGGCTACAATAGACCAGTCAGTGGTCACCGTGCCAAGTGGACCCACTTGGACACCACCCCCACTAAGTGAATTAAAAAAAAAAAACAAAAGAAAAACAACAGAAACTCACTATAGCCAGTGCCCTTGCTGAGACTCAAGTGGAGCATTTCCTGAAGTCTGATAGAGTGTTATGACTACACAGACCTGCCCAGTAATTTATAAAACTCCCAGGTTCTAGTCCTCAAGTGAACTATACCAGTCGAGCTACTGCCGCTTGTTGCCAAGTTAATGCCAACTTTACCCGATAGAGGGCGTTGCATGGTCAGTGCAATGAATCCCACGGCCGTTAGTTTCGGTTTTCTGACCGGAGACACTGTTTCCTTGAAATAGCTCCTCAGTTATCCTCATGAGGCTGTGTGGGCCCCTTTGCAGACCCAACCAGGAATCGAACCTGGGCCTCTGGACCTGTAGCCAGGAACTCTGACCACTAGACCACAGAGGCGGTCATAATCTAGATAAATGTGAGGAGTACAGATTTACTAAACATAAACATTTTTATCATTCTAAATTTTTGAAACGCTGTCAAACAAATCCACATCATGTTTAAATTATTGCTTACATTTTGTTATCCAGTTTTATTACTCATGTGTGAATATCCAGTGATACTCATCCTTCTGTTAGTTCAAACCAGTTTTTTCACTCTCTCAACATTTCAGTGGTCAATGTAACATGCAGGTAATTCACAATTTTTAACATCTCTCTCAGCGCTCCTATACCATACTTCTAACGTCCTGTATTGATTCGGTAGAGATTTTTCATGCAACACTGAAGACCAATTCTTTATTCTAAAATGTTACTAGTTTTCACAATGAACACAAAAACAGGAATTAACAGAAGCCATCACAAAACAAGCTGCAAGCAAAATTAGAAACTCTCATAGTTCAGTGTGTAATTAATTATAGAAATGCTTTCCATGGCTCTAAAACTTGCAGCATCCTGCTAAAAATGTCCAGCCTGGAAACTTTGGATCAGCCATCGTTTTTATGTGTGAATATATCTTCTTATTACAGATTCGCCAATGAAACCGACAGATATAAATTGCAGATAACTTCCATGAATATATTACATAATCAAACTCTCTGAAATTATAGAGCATGATATTCATCACCACTAGACACCCACAATGAGCCAGCCCAGTTCAGTTAAATTACCACAACATTTTTCCTTAAAGTTCTGTCATTCATCTGAATCTTGAAGTGCCTCATCCCAAAAAAAATTGGGCTGTCAGTATTTTATAATTATGTATTTCATGTTTCCTCCATGCATATCACATGACTAGTTTGTTGTAATGATTTATCATGTTCTCCTCTGCACAATGTCTCTTGTGTATTGTTGTTTGAGGTGGTGTGGTTATTTGTGTGCCTGTAAACTCTTTCTTTTTACAGATGAGTTTTTTTATTGCTAGTGGGGTGGGACTAAGTCCCTTGTACTGTGGTCACTTCTGGCCTATTGTACCAGTCCCAGATGATAGGTGAGGGTGATTGTGGAGCAATTGGTGGAATGAAGATTGGCAGGGGCAACCGAAGTACTCGGAGAAAACCTGCCCTAGTGCCACTTTGTCCACCACAAATCCCACTTGACCAGACCCGGGATTGAACCCAGGCCGCTGGGGTGGGAAGTGGCAACGAACCGCTTGAGCTATGGCGCTACAGATGAGTTGAAGTATGGAGTGTTATTATTGCTCTTTGATTAATTCATGCCTTTAATACAATGGTACTGGCGTAATAAACCTTGAATGATGACTGGTGTTTAGGGAATATCCTTGTTTACTCATATTTTATATAAACATAGATAAAAATATATTATTTTACACTGGCTCATATCTCCTCACTGTAAGTAATAAGAAGCACATAAATAAATGCAATTCATCACTAACCCAGTACCAAAACATTGAGATTAACTTCATTCCCCTAAATGTTGTAAACAGTAGAGATTAATGAAGGAAGTATTGTCGTAGATTTATAATAGATTTATACATCCCCTAATTCACCATTCAGCATACCACATTGCACAGGGGACTGGGGAGAAATGTTAGTAACTGATCCACTGTGCAAATTTTAACCAAGGTTTTCTGTCTGATTAAACTGTCTTGCTTCAATTGTAAGAATGAATATATTTCTCTGAAGGTATTCATAAACTGCTAATAGAATTCCCAAGTAGTTCAATGAATATTATGAATCTTGTTTCATTAGGATTGTAATTTCTGGAGAATCTGAATGATCAAGGAAGACTGACTGCTGCTAGTTAGGTTTTATAGTAGCCAAAATGTATGCTGTGATCTGATAACAAATTACAAGCCTTCATGGTGTCAAAACCCAGAAGTCTGGCTGAAATATGAATAATAAAAGAAGCCCAGTCATATGTCTGCTATGATAAGTTTTGGTGTAACATAATTTTCTTATCAGTATTGTTCTGATGTCTTTTTTATTTATTGGTGATCATAACTGACACTTTATTTCAGGTCCTTCCGACAGCGTGTGAACCAGAATAACAAAGGAAATGTATTTCTGGCAGAGGGAAAAAACACGTTTTTCATTCCTGTTGATGAAGGCTTTAAGGTAACTCTAAGTTTTAAGCAGCGGATAAAAAAGAATAACCAATTCTCCATTACTTGTAAGGGCGTTTTTTGTAGCCAAGTATTCCAGGTTCTTTCACATTTCCTTGATGCATAGAATTTGTTAATCTAAAACTAAATGTCTCTATGGACCATTCATTAGAAATGGGAGCAATCAATTGAAGAAAATTGGCCCTTTTTAGTGACCAACAGTGGTGCCTCTTTTGAATACTGGAACACAACAGGAATTATAATGAAAAGTTATATCTTCTGTGTTACAGGTGCTGATACTAAACAGTTCTGAATACTGTATCCTTAAAGGGGGGTGGGCAGAAATGAATTATAAGGATGTTTAAGTAAAACTGTAAATGCCAGTTAAAGAGGACACTGTAAAATAATATCCAGTATATAAGATCATCATCCCATTCTATATCAGGTCATGTGGCCTTTCATGGTTTCCTGTCGTTCATTCTCCTCTGCCAAGGCTTGTATGCTACGAAGTGCTCCGATATTCTTTTCTTTTGTATTCCAGTGTTTTGTTCCTGACAGTTCAGTGATTTTGTGTAAATATGATGGATTGAATTTTTAATTCATCTAACCTGTCTTCACTTTATGATGTAATAGCATATAACCTGCAATGCCATTAATTATCATACTTTTGTCCTGGAATGTTATCCTAAAACATGAGAAGGCTTTAGGAGCCATGTTTCCTGTAAAGGCGTACACTGTGAGGATGTTCATTCTTCTACATTTAGGTGTTCTTTAAACAAGTGCACATATGCACGTTAAGTGTCAAACGGCCCTCATCCACATTCATACAAAACTATTTACTGTACTTGTTTAAGTGATTCTATTCTGAGTTTTTGCTCAAATATATCAAACATGTGTATAAAGATGTAATCAAAAATGGTCCATTGGCTGATTTGCAGAATTTCTCAGATGTTCCTTCTCATGCTGGACGTTTGTAAATCCAATCAAATAATATTCAGATACATTTAATGGAACAACTACTTTTAACTGAACAAGTTAAAATGCATTCCATATAGTATCACTGTTTCTGCCACAAATTCAGCTGGTGCTGAAATATGACTAAGTTTGTTCTTTCTGTCTTTTGAATTGCAGCCACTCTGTGCCCCTTTGGGTGTGCCACTGTCTTGATTGTGCATATCATGTTGACTTGGGTTACTAGTACTACATGTTTCGGCCACACTGACATCTGTACAAGGAACCCAAGTCAACACGATATGCATGACCAAAACAGTGGCACACCCAATGGGGCACAGTGTGGCCACAGTTCATGAGACAGGAAGAACAAACATCCTGTAACACCAAAATAAATAATAAAAACGACACACAGTGCACTGGATTCCTTAATAATGTGTTGCCTGAAGATGGCCTTGTGTATCTGAAACATGTAGCATATACACGTGGAATATATATATATATTTTAGTGACATTTATAAACATTTTAATGAACATTTTAGGGGATTAAATGTGGATTAGCATGATATAAATGTATATTGATATTGTTGCATTATAAACGGTACAAGACCAAGTGATACTTCAGTGTAACAGGATGCTGAAATATAATATTAAATTTGTAACGTTCATAGCCTACTCCACGACCTGAAAAGATTGACCAGAAGGTTATTGATGGCCATGTAATTCCAAACCATGTGCTATTTACGGATGCAACTCCCAAAGACAAGGACTATGAGACCTTGGCATTTAGTGACAATGTGAGGGTGACTATCTCATTCTCCACCCAGTCTAATGGGAAGACATCTTCATGTGAGTACTTACACATTCAGTAAGACCAACAGTAATAAATGTATGATATGTGTGTGCTACACAGTAGTAATTCAACTTAAAAAGTAAAGCTATCCCTGTAATAGGCTGTGGAGGTCCATAGGGTTGTGAGATGTCAAGGCTTCCATATTTTTCACATATTCAGCCTACAGATGGCGGTGAGGTTGTCACCCTTATGTGCTAGAGCCACCTGTTACCCCTAGGAAGGTTCCTGGTACTCATTTCTGTTAGCCGTTGAGTTGACCCCGAGACTGTAATGCTGCTGGAAGGAATAGACCTGACATAATTGGCCTCACTGGCCTATTAGTCTGCAACTCTTTAAATTATTTTTTTAAGTATTTTAATCCTTAATTGCCTCCACATTATAAAAAACTAACAGAATTTTTTCAATACATATAGACAAATTCTGCAACACATTCTGAAGTTCTATGATGAATAATTTGTCACACACCACACACCTATTTCTGGACTGTGTGCAGCACAGAGGGTTTCCATGCCTGGGGCAGTAGCTCCTTCTACTTAACATAACTTCAGTTCTGATTACCGTCACCTTTTTGCAGTAAATAGTAATGAAGTTCTGTTCATTAGAATGAGCTACAGCCATTGGCATGGAAAATATCTGTGCCCTTCTTTCTACAGTCATACAGAAAGCAGCTACTGCATTGTCTCAAGCAGGATGTTTCTATCTCAATTGAATGCACTCTAGATCCACAACTAGATTCTACTTAAGCTTCATATTTCTTGTTTTCATAGTTTTAATTGAAGTTTCCAGTTCTTTGCTTGTTGTTGCCTCTTCTTTATTCGATAGGTTAATTTTTTTGTTATGCCAATATCATCCTTCCGTAAGATAATGATGTACTTGTTCAAGGATTTTGAAACCAGTTTACTGTTTATGATGTTCTAGCCCTTTTATGAAAACTTCCAAACTGTCACTCTTCATTATCCTAGTCAACGAGTCTAACCTTAATTTTGACTCTACAGTATACTGTATTACCTTATAACATTTTTCATTTAAGCATTTCTTATTTACTCTTTTCTCCTTTGTAGTAACTTAATTTAATTTCTCATTGTTTTACTTAATTTCCAAGGATTTCTCTTCCATCAGATTCTGAACAAATTTTGCTGCTTCTGTAACTGAAATATTTAGGTTGGCAGTTTTCTTTGATATTTCCACTTAAATTTTTAGTGTGGTATTTACTCATAATTCTTATCATTTTCTAATGTTCTCCTTTTGTGGTAACTTAATGAAATGTTAGATTGTTGTATGAAATTTCTTGGTCCGTTTTGTGTTCTATATAAAACACATGGCAAGTCACATAATTACCTCAAAATGAAATGGTACAAACTACTTATTTTAAGAAATATAAACTGAAATCATTTGGTCCACAGTTGCAATATATTTATTGAAAAACCATTAGGTTTTTAAAAATTATTTATCTGACAGATTACTGATGATGATGAACCTGGTAACATAGTTCGTTGGGCACTATGCTACAAACTGGAAGGTCGCTGGTTCGAGTCCTGATGAGGTGGACTTTTTTTTCAATTTACTTAATCCTTCCAGCTGCACCATGGCCCTGGGGTTGACTCAGCCTCCAACAGAAATGAGTACCAGGAATCTTCCTGGAGGTTAAGGGCTGCCGGCACATAAGGCTGACAACCTTACCGCCATCTGTGAGCTGAATGTCTAGAAGATGTGGAAGCCTCAACCTCTCACAACCCTGTGGTCCTCCATGGCCTGTTACAGGAATAACTTTACCTTTTTTTATGTATTATTATTGGTTATTGCTTAGCATGGGTAGGTAAGTTGGGAGGTCTTAAAAATTAAAATTTTCAAAAGAACCATACCATTTACAAACAGTGAGGCTTTTATTGGACAAGTACACTGAATACTGAAATGCGTGTTATTTTTCATGGCATTGTTGTTACTAAAAGAAGAATGCTTACACCATCTTTTCTTGAATTCATTGCTCTGAAGATACAAATATGATTTACTATATATGTATTCTGAGAGAAGCATGGTCATTTTGCCAACAGATTATGTGAAAAGCAACACAATAGTGGGGGATCCAAACCACATAGAAGGAGTTGTGCTGGCCGAGATTGTGAAGGCAAATATTCCTGTGAGGAATGGAGTGGTACATTTGATCCATCGGCCACTTATGGTTGTGGACACAACAGTGAAACAGTTCCTAGAAGTAAGTGTACTAAGTACTGAATTTCTGTCGGTATCCCGTATTTCTGACTAGTTTGAATCTATCTGTTGAGTTAAGTCACAACTTCAGCATGCTGTTAGTTACATTTCAGTGGAAGAAAATGGTTCCTGTAGTTTGCATACCTTCAAATTGCAAAATATTTCAGAACTATCCTGAAATTAGCAAGACAAGAAGTGACAGCTCAAAATCTGGCATGTGTGTCTAATATTCAGGAGGTCTGTGTTAAGTTTTCTTGGGTTTATTCACAAGATATTTGTATGTTTAAGATAAAGCTGAGATACTGTTTTTAAATGAATCACAGTTAATTTATTTGTATATATTTGTCAGTGGCCATTATTTCATTACCACACATTTTGTATGGAAATCTTGCTATAGGCAAGATTTATTCAAGAGAAATAATACTTAATGCTTTTACCAGAAGAATAGAAATTTTGGATTTGTTAACTTAAATTAAAATATCTTTCAACTTAATCACTTCAGTTAGTCACTTTTTAGTATTATATTACATGAGAGAAAAAAGTCAGCAGCAATTTGCATGTTTTTAGTGAAATCTGGACAGTGAACTGAGTAACTTTTCACCAAGACTTAGCCACATATTCTTATCATGAGGCCTGCCACTTCTGAAAATGTTCATATCTAAGTTTTATTCTTTGAACTGCAGTGTTCAGTTTTAAAAATCATCCTATCATATTCCATATGTTCTTTATAAAGTAACAATGTTTTGCTGGAAGGTTCTGAATTATTTCTGTATTTATGTTTTCAGCTAATAAGTTTTTGTAAAATTTGGTCCCTGAATTAGAGTTATTGCTAGGTGAACTGAAATACAGATTGTTGTTATGGTCTCCCTGATGTGTCTATAAAATATTGCTTGTGATGATGCTCATGTCAAGTGTTAATCGTTGTGATAGTTTCCACAAAACCCATGCCTTTAAAGTGAGCAGGATGTTTATACCCCTCGTGGTGGTGTACCAGAATTAAATGCGTTTGTTGTGCTTGATTTGTCTCCAGAAGTGATGAGTCCTTCTACTTATAAGGTGCTTTTGTGGGAGAAGGAAAAGGGTGGGTGTTCCTTCCCTTATTTTGACATATTCTGTCTTTGAAATTTCAGACTTCAAATTTCAGGAGTAGCACTCCTATTCCATCAATATGAAATGAAGGCTAATTCAATATTTATTCTATACTTTGACTATAAATCTTCATATTACAGATAGGACTTCAGAATTTCTTTCCAGTGTGCTTGAAACTTCATTTGCCCCAACCATTTTGATATCTGCAGCTCTTTTTCAATAGCCAATTCCATGTTTCTAAATATAAAAATTAGAAATTATTGATGTGTTTCGATTAGTTTTAACAGTTGCTGTGTATTTTTCAGTAATTTTGTAATAAATGTGTGCACAAGCTTTTCCTCTTACAGTTTTTTAATATTGACTTTCCAAAACATCATAAATGTCATGGGTGGACAGATGTTCAAAAACTGCATTTTCTCAGGATCAGTTTATACAGCCTCCAAAATTTAGCAGGTTCCTCCTAGAACATTCCATGTACATTTCTTTCAGTTCTACCCTGATACATATCGCTAAGTATCCAGTACCAGTTACACTGATGTATCATATGAGAATAGTTATAAATTTCACAGAATATTTCCCTTCCTGAGCCCTTTGTGCTTGCTCTTCCCGGTGTAATGATACACAGATTGAAAGTACTGAGATGACATCAAAAGTAGGTCCTCTGTATAATATTTTACTGTGAACTGATGAAAAAGTTGTAGTACTTGAATGAGATTTTAGTGTTGTTCAGTGTTGGTATACTAAGTATATAAGAAGTATAACACCCAAGCATCAAACCTTGCAGTTTATTATAACATCAATTTCAAGATTGTACCACAGTGGTGAGCATCACAGTGTTCTTCCCTAAGGCACATATTTGAGTAGTGAGCTCTTTCTCACTTCAAGAGTTATGTTTTTTCCTCTTTTGCTTGAGGTTTGTTAGCATAAGCTGTTGCCAGCATATTGATTACATAGCTGTTCTGTAAGAAACATACTGGTATATATATGAGTATTCCATACTTGGGAAGTGGTTCTTTTTCTTCCCATAGTTGTTATCCCAGTTTACATTTTCATCGTGCCTTGCAAGAAGGTAGTGTGGACATTTAATTAAAGGAAGAAATAATTAAACTTTTTCTTCGATCTGTAAGCAGGATGAAGAATATTAATTAAAATACAAGAAAATACAAGAATTAAGTGGACCAGAGCTCTGATCCAAGAAAGCTGACTGTAAAAATTATGTGTGGTTATGAATGTACTCATGATGGTTGTTGACTGCTTATGAACATGCTTTCATTGCATAATATCAGGGCTGTATTTATTTCAGGAGCAACCTTAATGATCAGGTTTGTACTTTGACCGTATGTCATTCATGATATCTTTGATACAAGTAAAGCTCCCCTAGCCAAATCGTATTATGTTAAATATGATTTTAATTGTTTTTACCTTTCTTCCACTTAGATGGGACTGAGAAGCTGTTGAATGTTGTATATTTTGAATAGAAAGTAGAACACAATTTATTTTTGGTTGACAAGCGAGAAGAAATGAATCATTGGTTAAATCAGAGCACATGGACACATTTATTCACTCAGAATAGATATTACAAGTGCAGTCCATATAACTAATAAACATTCAGTACAATAACATTGTAGTCTACATGTGCATACAGTTCACAGTATACAGTACAATACAAGGTTGCTAGAGATGGGATGCGACTGTTTATTAATTTTAATGAATTGAATACAGTTTTCATTTCTTTTTAGGGTAGGTACTTGCCTCAAATTTTCGTTTTGATTAAACGTTGATTACCATGTAATTATATAATGTGGTGTAAGAATACATTGCAAATGTAAGCACTGCAATTATGATATAAAATTCCATCACATCTGAGATTAGGTCTATATCACGAAGTGTTAACATCTCATATCTTAAACAGCTTGACACCATAGCATAATGTTTCTTTGAAAAACATCAGCCATTTCAAATCTCAGTTCTAATACAAATCTAAACCATTTGTCATGATTCTGTATTAAATTATAATTTTACATTGGGCAAATAATAAAATGACTGTCAGTAGCTGATGATAAAAGAGTGGTCCATAAGGACTGAAAATGATAACACGTTGTCACCAACATTGTATAGAATATACATGTATTATATTCTGTATGGAATCTTTAATGTTGGCTCCTAAATGTTTTGGTTTAGACTGAAAATTTATGAATTACCAGTAAGACTGATATTCAGTAGTATTTTAATTGTATATACGAATGCAAGAAGAAAAGGCATTCCATCTCTAGCAAAGTCTCGCGTATTGCACAACATAACTTATATTCATTAAGACTATTTCATGCACAGACCACTAATTATGATTCTTCTTACTTGACTTTCTTTTCATAATACTTCGTCTACTGCAGTCATTCAAGGTAAACTCACTTTTCCACGTTTTTACAGCATCTTTTATAACATTACAATATAGTTGCTCCTCATGTTCTGAATACCACTAATACATTGCCTGAAATTAATATATTGTTTGTTTCTTATTATTACTCTTATTATTATCATCAGTATTATTATTGTTATTGAAATATTGGCTGCTGAGATTAGTGTCAGCGGACTGAGATGTAAGTGAGATATGTAGAATTTCAGCTTGAATTGGTAGATATGTGATAACATGAATTATTTCATACTCTAGTTAACTGTGTGCACAAGTTATATTTTTGTATCTAGTAGCAGACGGCAGAAAGACAACTGGGCAGGGATGGATCCAACTGATTTGTTCCTGTTCTCTATGTATATGTCTGAAGTTGGTTACTTTTATGCATGTATGATGTTTCCAAAGCCAGTCAGTATTTAACAGAAGAATAATTATTATGTTAGGTATTGTATTTATTTACAAAAAAATTATGATTCTTTTGTAAGTAATTCATTAGTGAATTATTTATGAACACAAATAACCTATAAAAAGATACTGGTTATACATGTTCATATTATCATATTCTAATCTTTTGTACTTAGCAATCAGCAAGCTGGCACTGCTGAATAATTTTCTAATGTTGTCCTATATAACTGATCAATGTATACATCAAGATTATATTACGATGTAGAAGTAAACATGGGTAGTAGAGGCTTTATGTGTGTGTGTGTGTGTGTGTGTGTGTGCAAGAAACAAATTTTTAAAAGGTTCAGGAATCTGTTTAATTTAAGACAAATTATGTACTCATTATTTACATTACGAAACTAAAATTATTTTTGATTTCAACATTTTAGACCCAGATTTGAGAAAATATATACATTTATGAAAATGTAGAAGGTTTGGGCTCATATTTTCTTAACTTCACCGACAAGCAACGGTCGCTCGATCAGTATAGTTCGCTTGCAGACTACAGGCCACGGAGTCTTTTTTGTCATATTTTAATTGTACAATTATTTCAAAGTAATGTAAATTTTAAGCACTAATTCATAAAATACATGTCACAATTTCAGATGGCTTGAGAGAGTGATCAATATCAAATTATGGAAAATATATTGAAGTTCCAAAGGAAACCTGCTGAAGGAAGCAAGGACATTAACCATACATGTAGTGTCTCAATAGATCATATTTTTCTCGTGAATCTCTTATAATTTCATGTCACATATATAAGATTAGAGCGTTACTGTTATCATAACTAGTTTGCAGCAATTCACATCACACGGAATTCTTTATTTTTTCAAAATAACTGTTTATGCATACAACATATTATATTTTAGAAATATATATTTTTATTATTGTTACAGAAAATGAATGTCATCCCATTATAGGGGTATTGGGCATTAGTACGAATTTCATTAGTGAGGTAACTTCTATGATAATTTAAATATTTATTTATGAACTAGACTTATTTAATTTAACTTGTATTGCCAAATGACTTGTCCAAGTGTTACTATGTAGCAAACGGATGAAAATAAAATACAATACAATATAAAATAACAACCTTGCAATTATGTATAATTAATCAGGATAATTTTCCTATGGCAGTTTTGTGAATAATATGGTTATTACAAGCTGGATTGATGAAATTGTGTGTCAGGTAGGGGTACTGAATTTTTCCCCTCCACCATATCAGAAAGGCTCTCCACCTAGCAGTTACTGCATTTCATTCCGTTCTCATGATGCTGGAAATTTTTGGCTTCATCATCATATGTTTTCATTGTTGGGGTTGTATTTGAGGTATTTTTGAGTTTGTACCTTGGCCTTAATATATATTTTTAAATTTGTTACTATCATAATTTTTTATGTCATTAGCATTATTGTTTGGCCCTTGGTAAAGATAATTTTACAGTTATCATATGATAGTACTTAAACACATAAAGAGAGAATTTCATATACATTATTATATATAAGAAGATAAACATGGAGCAATTATTTACAGATTTCAGAATCAGTGTTACTCAAAATATTCTTGTTTCATGTTTATAACTTACATTCACCCTTCACCTATACAAAGCTGAATAAACAAATTCAATTTTGATGAACAGAGGCACTATTTATCTACATACTATGAAAGCATATGCTATTCTGTATGAAACTAAAGATTTTTTATTATTATTATTACACTTTTCAAAATATGTATGAAAAGTTGTATTTCATCAATAGGAAATGTTGCTACATAGAAATAAGCATAAGATGTTATGTATAGAGAAATAAAACAATAATTTAACCTGGAACAGAATGATGGGTACCAGATGCTAGCATTGAACACAGATTGAGGGTTTCATACTATGACGTGGATGGCGCAACAGGAAGTAGGGGTCACATGAACTCTGTGGTCTCACGAGTGACATCACGTACCCCCATCACTTCCATTATCATGCAACGCTTGGTAAACACTCTGTTGCCTCCCGCAGTGACGTAACAGAGGAGCAACTGTGCCAGGCAACCATTGCTGCGGTGACATAACAAGGGATACCGCGGTTACTACACAGCAGTAAACAACTCTCAACAGTGTTGCTAGGCAACCTGTAAATATGGCGTCATGCAACAGCGGTACCTATCACGTAACTGTTTTCTGCGTTGTCCGTACCGAGGCTAAATAAGGAGCAGTGAACACTATTCAGTAGTGAGGATTGGGCCAGTTACAAGTGAGTAGTGAGTGAGGTACTAGAGAGAGAGATTAACCTGTCAGTTTCAATCTAGCACTCGCCAAGCCGGGTTGTATCGAGTGCATGGCGGTGACTACAGCAGGAGAAGTATTTGTGAGACTGCCGATGACAGTAATTGTGAGATTGTAAATTGTGTGATTGTAAGAGCAAATGTGCAATAAATTCGCAATATCAAACAAGGCGTGAAGTTACTTGTCACGTGACCTACCCAACATGTGACAATACATTGATCAGTTACTTACACTATACATCGGGCATACTCTTCAGTCATTTTAGGAATAAATATAGTTTTCCTTTTCTCATATAATCAACAAAATTCTATAGGTATCAGTAATAGATGTCTTAATCTAGATATTAGTTATGAACTTTAAAGCTATAATATCGTCCTCTCTCTCATCTGTTCTGCTACAAATAATAACAGGAATTTATTTATGTTTGTGCCAGTTGTTAATAAATTTTCACATAGTAAATTTACAAGACTTCTTAAAAATGATTTTCAGGTAATTCAGGGATTATGTATTTTCTGTTTTATTCTGAGTTATTTGTTGTATTTAATCAGTACTTACTAATCTGAAGTTAACAGTGGTTAGTTCACCCGCAAGTATTATATCAGCAGAATGTCAATAAAAATTATATTTCTTACTCTATTGCTTAAACTTAAATTATAGGATAGCCTACTGGAATACTAAAGACATTATTATTAGTTATGTGATCAGCACCACTTAAATTTAAGTGCATATCCTGTTATTAGTTATAGTTTGAATTTATTTATTGTTTCACCAATTGAAGATGGTAGGAAATACTAATTGAATGCTCACTCCGCTGTCACTGATTTACAATAAGCTGATGGGTTTTCCTTCTTATTGTACTGGTTGTATTCTATGTTGATATGTGTTGTATCTTGTAAGGGATTTTACTTGGTGGCATTTTCCAGTTTAGTATAAAACTGCCTCATAAACACTGTGCTGCATCTAGGTTGAGTGGTCACCATAACATATCACCCATAAGCTACTTCCAGAAGGAAGAGGTTAAGTCTGCTGTATCTAGATTTAATACATAAAGATCAATTCCTTGCATTCATTCAGTTCATTTAGACTTTCAGATATGCCTGACATGTACAGTACTATTATTCAATAATTATTGTCAAAATTTAATATCTTCAGTTTGTTTTAGCCAAGAGACTAAATAAGTTTTTTGAAAATGTGACAGACTTAAAATATTTGGGAATATCAGTAACAAACCAAAATTACTTTTATGAAGAAATTAAGAGCACATTAAATTCAGGAATTGCTTGAGACCATTCAGTTCAGAATTCTTTTTTCCCCAGCTTCCTGTACAATAACGTAAAAATTAAAATTCACAAAACTTTAGTACCTGTTTTCTTATATCAGTGTTAAACTTCCTCTGCCACCATGATGGAGGAACACAGAATGTGGTGTTTGAGAATGGGATCTAAAGAAGAATAAATCAATCAGAGAGGGAGAAAATAGCAGGAGGCAGGAGAATATTTCATGATGAGGACAATTTATACTTGTTGTTGAATATTAAGGTGACAAGATGAAGGAAAATTTGGTGGGAGGAACATACGGCATATATGTAAATGGGGGAATAATATTAAAATGGATCTTTTAGAAGCAGAATGTCAGTGTGTGTACCGGAATCATCTGGCTCAGAACAAGGGCCTCAGGAACATGTTAATTAACATTTGGATTTTATAAAAGGCAGAAAATGTCTTGCTCAGCAGCTATTCATTTCTTGAGGAGGACAGTGCTCCATGGAGTTATTTTGATGGTTTCTGTTATGGTAAATGTATTAATATAATAATCATACTCTGTGTTGATGCTTCTTGTCTGTGTACTGAGCAGCAAAAGGTGTTGAAAGATGTTTGTTTAGAATGATGATGTAGTACTGATACATAGACCATTTGGCCATGCAGTTCAGTGTTAGTTGAGAGGAGAAAGGCAAGTAGCTGCAATAATGTCAGTACCCCCAGATTTGTGTTATATAAATTTGAATAGTTATATCAGCACTCAGGTCGCTTTTATACATTCGTTCATTTATTTTACATTCCATAGATCCACAGTACAACAGGTAGGATATGGAACACGTTAAGTGGTACATATATAAAAGACAAAAAAACGAAAAAAATAGAATAAAATAAAATGATGACAGAAATATAAAAAGTTCTATTACTAATAGTTTTAAAACTTGGTAACAATAAACATAATTTATTAAACTATATATATAAATTCTTTGGTATGTCATTGACTTGCAATAGCCTTAA